GGGTGATTTGCCTCACAGGGGTCATTGGACAACGTCTGGAGACATTTTTGGTTGGCAGAACTGGGGAGGGGCGCATCCCGTTGGGGAGATACCAGGATTGTGGCTGAACATCCTACCATGCACAGGACAGCCCCCGAAACAAGGAGTTATCCACCCCCGACTGTCAGCAGTGCTGCTGCTGAGAAACCCTGCTCGGAGAAACATCCAGCAAGTTCCCACATCCATTCGCTCACTTGTGAGGCAGTTGGGAAGGGGCTAACATCCCTATTTCACAGAGGAGGAAACTGAGGCTCAGAGGAGAAAGTGACTGGTTCAAGGATGTGTGGCAAGTTCCATTCAAAAACACTTATTGAGGGGCACCTGGGTGGCTTAGTCGGTTAAGCATCCAACTTCAGCTCAGGTCATGATCTCACGGTTGGTGGGTTCGAGCCCCATGTCAGGCTCTGTGCTGACAGCTCAGAGGCTGGAGCTTCCTTCAGATTCCATGTCTCCCTCTCTTGCTCTCTCTACCCGTCTCCCACTTGTGCTCTGTCTCTCTCTCTCAAAAATAAATAAACATTAAAAAACATTTAAAAACCTTATTGAGTACCTACTTTATGGTACTATTCTAGTAGCAGAACTGAGAATCGGATTCATTCATTTCTTAACTGACTGAGCCACCCAGGCACCCCCATTCATTTCTTTCTTTACTTATCCACAAACGTTTACTGTGCTGGCTGCGAGGGATCTACAGTGATGAATTAGACCCAGGCCTGACCCCTCTGACCTCATGGTCTAGTGAGACACACAGCTACACACACATTGACAAAGGAGTGTCAATGTGAAAGTGCAAAAAAAGTGCAGGGCTACCTGAAGAAATCCAGGAAAGCTTCTCAGAGGAGGTGTTTATAAACTAAGACATGAAGAGGAGTGGGAGTTAGTCACCAAAGCCTGAGGTTTGTGTACAGGGTTCCAGGCAAAGGGAGCAGCATATGTGAAAGCGGAGGAGAGAGAATACAGCTCATTTAAGACCTGAAGATGGTTCCGTGTGGCTGAGTATGATGTGAAGGTGAGAATGAGAGAATGGCAGGGCCCAGGTCTTATAGAGCCTTGACTGTCAGGCTGAGGTGCCCAGATTGCCTCTCTGAGCTATGACAAGAACACAACAGGTAGCAGCTGAGACAAATAGAGCGCCTGAGACCATCTGCCAGAGAGAGGGGCTTCCCTGGGTCAACAGTGGGGATGTGCTTCTTGCCTCCTTGAGTTACGCTGCTTCACACACGTGTGGCCTCATCCCGCTGGCTCCCAGTGTAGAGGTCCACATCTAGGGGCACCCAGAGGCTAGGGGGACCCCAAGAGGAGAGCCCAGAGTCCTACCCAGTCTGCTGGAAAATGGGCTCATCCCCAAACTAGGCACAGATCCACAGGTAAGAGCACTGGGAGTGGGGCGCCGGAGTGGCATTAAGCGTCCGACTTGGGCTCAGGTCATGATCTCGCGGTGCGGGAGTTCGAGCCCCGCGTAGGGCTCTGTGCTGACAGCTCAGAGCCTGGAGCCTGCTTCGTATTCTGCGTCTCCCTCTCTCTCTGCCCCTCCCCTGCTCACACTCTTTCTCTCTCTCAAAAATAAATAAATACATATTTTCTAAAATTAATTTTAAAAAAAGAGAGAACCAGGAGCTGTCCCTTCACCCCTGGGAAATCGGTATTGATACATCAAATATGGCCTTCAGTCACCTACAGGGGACCCCCATTCTCTGTCCAGCATTCGCGCGCTCAGTGGTGCCTTCAGCCTCCCTCCATCCCTTCCTGGAAGGCCCAATCCTGAACATCCTGGGATCATTCATGCCCCTGCCCTCCCCCACTGCCTTTGCCCATGTAGCTCCCCACACCGGGGACAGTCCGGAGGCACAGCCAGGCCCCAGCCCTTCCCAAGCAGCAAAGCCACCAGCCTTCAGCGCCTGGTTCAAATGCCATCCGTTCAGTGCTTCTCCTGGCCCCTCCCCTACCCCATCCAGAGCCTCCTGTTGTCTGTCCCCATCCCCTGGGGCTTCCCAGCACTGTGTACGTCCCTCATAGCTTGTCCCATGGGGCCGTCAGGGGCTGTTTGTCCATCTGTTTCTCCTGGCCCCTGAAAATGCCTTGGGGGACCTTCCATGCTTGTAGATCAAAAAGAATGAATCCAGACACGTGGAAGGAGCTCTGAGTGCCGCATGGCCATGGGCAATCAGCGAGCCTCGCGGAGCCTCAGTCTCCCCAGCAGCCTTCCTGGGTGAGTTAGTGTGAGGCCTGAGAATGCCTGCTTGGCTGAGTAGGTAAGGGCACAGGCTCTGGGGCCTGACAGATCTGAGTTTAAATCCTGGCTGTCCCATTTACAGGCTGTGACCATGGACAATTTCCTAACAGCTCTGTGCCTGCTTTCTCATCTGAAAAAATGAGTATAATAATAGTGCCGACCTCTTAGGGAGGGTTCCCCTTTATAGCCTTGTCTCGCCTCTAAAGAACACGGTGTCTTTGTAGGTTGTATGATTTCGGGTCCCAGGGTCTATGGAACCTGCTAGAAACCTGTTCAGACCTTCTCCACTCTGAGCAAACCTCCCATTACCTCCTCTCACCCATCATCATCTCAGCTGATGACCTTGCTTCCTAGCTCGCTGGAAAAGGGGAGGCTGTGGGAAGAGAGTTCTCTCAAGCTCCCACCACTGCCCATTCATGCTCCCTCCTCCGGGCTCCCGAAGATGAACTGTCTAGGCTCTCAGAAGAGGCAGCAGCAGACCCGACTCCTGGCTGTCCCTCCAGCAACTCTCTCTGGCCTGCATCCTCAGGTTTGCCGCAGGTCTTTCTCATCTTCCACAGATGGGATGTTACTTCCTCCACCTTCAACAGCCTCTACTGCATTCTCGCTCCTTCCCTTAAATAGAACTCCTTGAAAGCACTGTCTCTACTCGCTCACCTCCCATTCTCTCTTTCATTAATTTTTAGAGAGAAGGAGTGCAGTGCAAGCAAGCATGAGTGGGGGAGGGGCAGAGAGAGAGAGCGAGCGAGAGAGAGAGAGAGAGAGAGAGAGAGAGAGAATTCCAAATTCCAAGCAGGCTCCATGCTCAGCCTGGAGCCCAATGCGAGGCTTGATCCCATGACCCTGGAATCATGACCTGAGCCGAAATCAAGTTGGACGCTCAACTAACGGAGCCACCCACATGCCCCATGTCCCATTTTCTCTTGGACAGCTTCCTCTCTGGCTTACGCCCCTGTGGCTCCACTAAAGCTCTGGTCACCGAAGCCCTCCATGTTGCTGGAGAGCAGTCCGTTCCGGGTCCTCTCGCTTGGCTTAGCGGTCTTTGTTGCCATGAGCCACTCTCTACTTGGCTCCCAGGACATACCCAGGTTTCCCTCCCACTTCTCTGGCTGCTCCTTCCTGGTCCCCTTGGTTGGGTCCCCCTCCTGTCCCTAAATTCTAGGAGTGCCCCAGGGCTCCAAAGTTTAGAGTGACACCATCTCTCTTCTCTCTACTCTCATTTTCTAGGTGATCTCATTAAATACTGTCCACATGCTGCCGACACCGGTCCTGACCTTTGTCCTGTACTGCACTGTCACCCCAGATGACTTCTCTACACCGGCGCTTGGACATCTAATCAGTACTGCAGACCTCACACGCTCACGGCTCTGTCCGTTCAGGCACCTCGGCCCAAATCCTTGTAGTCTCGTTGTTTTCTTCTTTCTCTACCACCCAAGATCCCATTCACTAGGAAATCCTGGTGGCTCTCCCTTCGAAGTATATCTTAAATCTGATCACTTCTTTCTACCCCCACTGCCATTACCCTGCTCCAAGCCACCATCACCTTGCCTGGAGTATTGTGGTAGCCTCCTACCCAGTTTCCCAGCCTCCACCCTTCACCCCCTTCAGTCTGTTCCCCATCCAGCAGCGAGAGGGAGCCTCTAGGAACTTCAGCTCATGTCACTGCATGTCCCCAAACCTTCCAATGGCTCCCATCTCACTCAGCGTGAAATCTGAAGTTCTCACCCTGGCCCTTACTGTCTGGCCACTGCTACCTCCCTGACCTCCTCACCTCTACTCTCTTCCACTCTAGCCACACTACTCTTCTCACTATTCCTTGAACACGTCAGGCTTGCTCCTGCCTCAGGGCCTTTGTACTTGCTCTTCCCACTGTCAGGAACAGTCTTCCCTCAGAAACCTGCATGAATCACTCTCCTTCTTCCTTCAGGCCTTTACTTCTTTTTTAAAAAAATACTTATTTATTTTTGAGAGAGAGAGAGAGAGAGAAAGAATGAGCAGGGGAGGGGCAGAGAGAGAGAGAGGGAGAGAGAGAATCCCAAGCAGACTCCGCACTCTCAGTGCAGAGCTCAATGTGGGACTCAGCTCCACGAACTGTGAGATCATGACCTGAGATGAAATCAAGAGTCAGAAGCCCAACTGACTGAGCCTCCCAGGCGCCCCCCAGGCCTTTACTTCTCTGCCTCCTTCTCGGTGAGGTCTTCTAACTGGGTCCTCCACCTAATATCTCTATCCTACCTCAACATCCCCTAGCTCCCTTCCTTATCTTTTATCCTTATCTAGTGAACTATGGATTTTACCTATTTACTTTTATTTTCTCACTCCTTATGATGTAAGATCCATGAAGGCAGGGACCTTTTGCCTGTGTTGCTCACTGCTACATCTCCAACACTTAGAATAGCACCTGGTGCGAAGTCGGAGGGTTGATATGTATGGGATGGATGACTGAGCTGTCCAAGGCCTCAGTCTCTCCATCTGGAGAATGGATATACTAATGGAACTGACCTCATGGCTGTATGAGGACTCACTGAGCTGAGTGAGTGTGCAGGTGCCCAGCACAAGCCTTGGAACACAGTGGGTGCTCAGCAAGAAAGCCTTCTCATCCTTCTGTCCTGCCCCCGGGCCGTGTTTAGAGTGGGCAGCTGGGCTGGGAGGTACCCCCTTAGCTCCTCCCCAGGAAAACCCTTGCCTCTTCCTGGGCCCTCCTGGGAACTGGCAGGAAGGGCCTTACCTGGGTGAATGTCCTGGAACAAAGACTTCCAGATGGTGTACTGCAGGGGGCCTGTGTACTTGGAGGTCGGGAAGTCTTCGTAAGTCAGATTGGTCTCGTGGATTTTCCCTTTAAGCCTGGAAGGAAAGCGGGAGAAGCAAGGTTGCACCCTCAGGGCAGCTGACAGAGGGCAAGGCCGTGTATGTGATGTCTGCCGCCCCAGAGTCCAGGGCCTGCTTGTGCCACTTCCTAGCCTCAGTTTCCTTATCTTTAAAATGGGTGCAATGATAGCACCTGCCATCTAGGCTTGTGGTGAGGGTTACATGGCAAAACATATGCACAGTGCTTCCCACTGTGCTTGGCTCGTGGTCAACACCGAATGCATGATGCTAGCTCTCAGGATTGACCGTCAACAGACCAATGATTAAGTGTTAGTATTTCTAAAGGCGGCGATCAGACAAGACAGACCCGCAGTTGAATCCCGGCTCTGCCATATACTAGATGAGGGGTCTCGGTCAACTGATGTAGCTTCTCTGTGCCTGTTTCTACATGTGTGAAATGGGGATGACAGCAGCAACTACCTCCAAGGGAGCGAATAGGATTATAATAATATAAATATTATTTATTATCTATAATATCAATGTTATAAAGACTATAATATATACTTGTAATGTAATATTTATTAAATAATAGTGTATTATAAGTAATATTCTGTGATTCTACTGATTAGGTATAAAATAATATATGTAATTATAATATTAAGCCTTGGGCCAGGCTCTGGCACATAGCCAACGCCCCATAGCTGTCTGATGAAGATGTGAATGAATGAATTCCCCGCTAACGGCCCCGTCTGCCTCTAGTCCCACCTCCCCACACAGGCTGGGGACGGGGTGCCTGTCTGGGGAAGGCAGCCAGTGGCGGGCACTTACCGCTCGGACAGCGAGGCCACCCCGGCCAGGAAGGTGTGCCGGTCGGTTTCGGCCAGCCGCTCCTGCAGGATCTGGGCCCCCTCCTGCACCTTGCGCAGCTGCTGGCTGTAACGCTGGACTTTCTGCTCAATGTCGGTTAGCGTGCGGGCCGTGTCCGCCTCTAGCTCCTCCAGCATGGCCTTCTGCCGCTCGCGCAGTAGCCGGTGCAGCCGCTCGAAGGCCTCGCCGATGGTGGTCCGCAGGCTTTTGGTGGAAGACTGGGGGGACAGTCATCAGGGGTCAGGCCAGGGGGAACAGATGGGGTGACCCCTGGGAGAGAGGAGGGAACCGAGAGCCTTGACATGGTGAGAGGTGGTAATGTCACCTGTTAAAGCGCGGCGGCATGCCGGGCTGGCATGGCCAGGGACGGCACACTCTTCCAAGTGTCCGTTAGGATATTCATGAAATGCTCTGGGTGAGATACTGAGGCTTGAACTAGAGGAGCAGCAGAGGGGCTGTGGGCTTGAAAGACATTTGGGGGCAGTGCCTTTAGCTCTGGTGACTGACAGGCTGGCTGTAGGGGTACAGGAAAGAAAGGTGTGAGGATGGTCCTCAGGTTTCTGGTGTGGGGGTGAGAGGGACAGGTAAGCTGGGGGAGAAGGGGGGCAGGAAAAGATGCTGAGTTCAGTCCAGGATACAGTGAGGTCTTTATTTTTTAAAAAATCACTCAGGGGTGCCTGGTTGGCTTAATCAATAAAGCATAGGACTCTTGATCTCAGGGTCGTGAGTTCAAGCCCCACGTTGGGCATGGAGCCTTAAAAAAATAGGGGTGCCTGGATGGCTCAGTTGGTTAAGCATCCGGCTTCAGCTCAGGTCATGATCTCACCACTCATGGTTTCGAGCCCCGCGTTGGGCTCTGTGCTGACAGCTCAGAGCCTGGAGCCTGCTTCAGATTCTGTGTCTCCCTCTCTCTCTCTGCCCCTCCCCCACTTGCATTCTCTCTCTCTCTCTCAAAAATGAATAAATGTTTAAAAAATTTTCTAAATAAAATAAAATAAAAAAAATAATAAACAATAAAATTTAAAATTAAAAAAAATCATGCATGGGGTTCAAGCAAAGATGACAAGGAGATTACAGATGGCAGAGAGCTTTATAAACCGCAACGTGCCGGGCAAACCTTGGTGGTCACTGGCCCTTGAGCCGCCCTCGCTGAGAAACAAGAGCTGGAGGTTAAAGCCACGATCACCGATCACCGGAGGCAAGACTGGGCTTGCACATTTCTCTGTTCCCTCGGGCACTGGCGGGTCCGGGAGGGGCCTGGGTGGTCAAGAGCACAGGCTTCGGTACCTCACAGCCTGGGTGAGAATCCCAGCTCTGAGTCTCTAGCTGTGGAAACCTCAGCTGCCTAATGTCTCTGAGCCTGTTTTCTTCTCTGTGAAAGGGGTAACACAACCACATCGCAGGGTTCTGGTGAAGATCAAGGGGGGCTTTTCACAAAACGCGTGCCGTTGTTCGAAGTGCAGAAGAAGAGCCTGGTTATTAAAGGGGATCAAGTCTAACGGGCACATCCTAAAAGTCTTCACTGAGAGATGGCTTCTGAGCTGGGGCCTGAAGGAAGGGGCAGGATGTCCACTGGGGGTGCGGGGAATAGCCGGAGTCAGGACATCCCGGGCTGCAGAAGCGTGGCCAGGCGGCAGCAGCGTGTGGGACCTGCCTCTGCAATTTTACTTTGTGGGATTCTGGCTGGGAGTTCACAGAGTCAGAGACCCCCGCTGTGTTCAGTGCCCAGGGCTCTGCGGGAGGTTCAACAAAGGCTCAATTAGGGCCAGTTCCCTCCTGTCTCGGCAGCAGGAAGAAGCACTGGCAGTGGGCCAGCCTCCCCGCGCATGCCCACCCAGAGCGCCAGGCAGACAAAGGGGGCGGGGGAGAAGCTGGGGATGAACAGCCAGGCTGCTTGTGCCTCCCTGAGCCCCTTCCTGAACCCTGAGACTTCTGTGTGGGTCACAGAGGGGACGATGGAGCCTGCCCTTCCTGCATCGTCTGCTGCTGCCCTGCAAAGACCCCCCTCTCCCCCAGATCCCACAACCACCCCTTCTGGCTCCTTCTCAACCCCTCTGTGGCAGTGTTTGGTGCTCCGGCCACACTCCACTGGCTGCAGGTTCTGGTTTGCCTCCCACCTCCCTCTGGGCCGGCCCCTTCCATTCTCACCAAAGTGCCCTCCTTCATGTTCAACCCCACGGCTTTGAGGATGGCTCCCACGTCCTTACCCGCGGGCTTGAGTGTCTCCTGAGCACCACGTTCACCTTTCCACCTGCCTCAACTATACAGGCCATCCAACACTCTCCGTCCGCAAGTCGCCTCTGTGTCTTGGGCAACAAATTCACTGCCAGAGTGATCCTTCTAATGTGCAAAGTGGGCCAAAGCCAATGCTGTGGTTAGGAATATTTCTTGGCTCCTTGATAACTAGTAAAACACTCAATTCCTTAGCCTGGCATTCAGAGTCCTCAATCTGACCCCAGCTTATCTCTCTAGTGCCACTGCATTGTAATTACACCTGCCTAGAATGGGCCCCACCCCCAACAAACTCTTTATTCAACAGGCAGACCCCTACTCACCCTGCAACACCCAGCTGCAGAGCTACCTCCTCAGCGACACCCTCCCTAACTTTTTCAGGCGGTTAAATAGTTAAAGGTCCCCAGAGCATTGTGTAAATATTCCTAATACACAGTCTCACATTTTATGTGGCCCCAGCTAGTGGATGAACCCCCTGGGGGGTAGGAACGACATCTCAGCCTTGAGCTTCCCATGCCCATCCCAGGGCCTGGCACAAGGCTGGCAGTCAGAACCTGCTGGAGAGGTGAGGAGGGAAGAGTCTTGCCAACAGCTGCTCTGCAGAGGAGAGTGCAGCCTCCGTCTTCTTTTTAGGATGGGGTCTAGTGTATCCAGGACAAAAGAAAATGGGTAGGAAAAGGGGGAGGGGCAGGGAGAGGGCAGCCCAAAAGCGGACCATTGGACAGCCAGCCACCACACGTGCTTCAATGTCCCTGAAAGGTCCTCTCAACCTACCTGTCTTACTGACCACAAAGCCATAGATCTTGCTGAGGACATCCCAGCACGAGGCTGGAATAGGCACTGGGCTCTGACAAAACTGGGCGGTAAGCTGCCAATTAGCCCCTTACTAGCTGTGGTGACTTAGGCTCGTTCCTCAACCTTTCTATGCCTCAGTTTCCTTGCCAACAAAATGGAGATAACATTCCTCCATCAGAAGGTGCCCCCCCTCACCCCCCACCGCATGTGCTCATTTGTTCTACAATTATTTATTGTGTGGGAAGGCACTGTGCTAGGTTCTGGGGGGTCCTGCTCCCATAGAGGTGACATTCCGTGGGGCTCAGTGAGACAATGAACAGGAACCACAACTACCCGCACAGAGAAAGGGTCCACTCAACTAGTATGCCCCGTTTAGTCTAGTTTTTTTCTAGGGCAGAGCTGCGCCCGCCCCACCTCCAGTCCCCTTGGTGCTGTGGCTGGGAAAGCAGCCCCTACCCCAGCCCGCCACATCCCTGGGGTACACGGGGGCTTGGAGGAACTGACTGTTTCAGAAAAATACCCTGCCAAGAACGCGTCACTTGGTCGGGAGCGACCAAAGAAAACACTGGGCCCAGGGAGGGAGATCAGACAGGCCCTCGGGCTGGGCCACTGGAGGGGCAGGCTCTGCAGGAAAGCCGAGTCAGGCACCAGGTGAAATATGACCTCCGAAGCATCCATAGGCATTTCTTGTATAAACACCCCAGTCCAGACAGGAAGCAGGGCTGGGGGAACTGGAGGGGAGGTGGCCCCACAGGACCCCCCAGAGGTAGACAGATGGACAGGAAAGCAGGGGAGGAAAAGGTCAGTGGAGAAAAACAATGGGGAGCGGAGAGAAGAGAAGGCTAGGGGGAAAACTAGACCATAATACTCCGCTCTCATTCACACAGAGGCTTCCATTCGCTTCTCTTCACCCGAGAGCTGCAGAACCACCAGGCAGACAGGGAAACTGAGGCTGCGGGAGGCACATAGGCGAGCGTCCTCTAACGGTTTCCCGTCTCTTGCCTGCTGTGGGTCCTGTCTGCAGGGAGTCCAGAATGTTCTCTGAAGAAATGCTTGTCATGACCTCCCCAAGACCCCACACGGGTTGGTGGCCAAGCCGGGGCACAGATCTGGATCTCCAATGGCCTCTCCAGGCCCCAGGCTGACCCTCAGAGGCCCAGAGCATTCCGAAGGCTCTGCTCCAGCTGCTGCTCCCAGCTGCACCCCTGCTAGCGAGTGGGCCAGACTGAAATCACTGTAGAGCTTAGCAGCTGGGCCTGGGTCCCCAGGTTTTGGTCCCAGAAAGGGCAGAAATCAAAGCAAGCCTTGTCCCGTTGGTGGGGCATCTGTGGGAGGAACTCAGAGGGAGCCCATGGGATCTAGAACTTTGGGGCCGGAAGGAGCTTGCCAGAGTCTGCACCGTACAGATGGGAAGACTGGGGGCCCAGAGGAGTATGCAGTTTAGCCAAAGTCACACGTGGAGTTAGTGGCTGGATCAGAATCCAGGGCCACCCTCTCAGGTCAAGAAGTGGTTTCTTTTCAAACCACTGCAGCCAAGAGACTGCAGGGTTTGGCCCTACTTTGTACACAGTCCATATCCCCATGGTGGGAGTTTTAAGAGGGGTCAGGATACAAAGGCTGGGCCACAGATCATCAGGAGGGCTTGGAGGGAGCATGCTCAGGGTGGGCTCCTCTGGCAATGGGCAAGCGTGGTTTTGTTTTTTGTTTTTTAATGTTTATTTACTTTTGAGAGAGAGAGAGGAGTGAGCACAAGTGGGGGAGGAGTAGACAGAGCCGGAGACACAGAATCCGAAGCCCCACTTGGGGCTCAAGCCCACTAACGGTGAGATCATGACCCGAACCAAAGTCGGAGGCTTAACCGACTGAGCCACCCAGGCGCCCCTGGGTGGGCGTGTTTAATAAGGTGAGAGGGAAAAAAGACCAGGTATATTCTCCCAGCCTTGCAGGACTGGGAGGTTTCCTGAGGGTCCCTGGTCCCACCTCACTTTCCGCCCAGAGCAGGAAGGGAGAAAGGGCCCCGCCCTTAAAGCCAGGCACCAGCCCAGATCATTGCCCTCTGTCCTGGGAATACGTCTTGTCCCATCTGCATTCAGGTGAGCCCCAGCCCCCGTTCTACGCCTCCTCTCCCCAGCCCAGACCCTCTCAGAACCTTTGGCACCTTTAGGCCCCGCCCCCTCTTCCTAGGCCGCCCCGCCCACCCTGCAGGACCCGCCCCTGCGCCCAGGCTCCGCTCACCTTGGTCTCGGCCAACTGTCGCTTGAGCAGCTGCAGCGCCTCCGTGTGCTCCCGTTCGCTGTCCTGAAGGGCCTGAAGCTGCTCCTTCAGCTCCCTCTGGAACAACAGCAGGCGGGGATGCGTGATGCAGAGCCCGGGCGTGACCACCGCCGCGCTCCCCAGACCTGGCCCAACATCCTCCTCCCAGCACGGCTCAGTAACCCACACATCTCCCAGTATCCAGGCTGCTTTCATCTTTCCATCTCTCTTCTGGAGTTTCGCAACAGCCTCCTCCCGAGCCATCCTAGGAGCTTGTGGCCTCCCCGTCTCCAACCCGCCTCCACATTCGCTCTGCCCCAGCCTGATTTGCTGGCGGACACCCCTGGCTTAGAATCCTTCGATGGGTACCAAGGCTTTACCACCGTCCGCTGCTACCGATATTCAGTGGGCTAGGCGCTGTCCTCAGTCCCCTGCTTGTACTGGGTCACGGAATCCACGGAATGACACGGAGGTAGGCACTACTATTTAGCCACATTTTTCAACATTGAAATTGGTACAGAGAGGTCCAATGAAAGAAGCAGGTATGGGGAAAGCCATGAATGGAACTCAAGCAGTCTGGTTCTGGAGACTATCATTTAAAAAAAAAATTTTTTTAATGTCGTTATTTGATTTTGAGAGACAGAGACAAAGAGCGAGCAGGGGAGGGGCAGAGAGAGAGGGACTCTGAAGCAGGCTTCAGGCTCTGAGCTGTCAGCACAGAGCCCGACGCGGGGCTCGAACCCACGGACTGTGAGATCATGACCTGAGCCGAAGACGGACCCTTAACCGACAGAGCCACCCAGGTGCCCCGAGACCATCATCTTGACATGAAGTGATACTTGACATGAAGTGACACGTTTTCTATAGTGATGACGCCCATGACAAGCAGTGACAAAAATCCATAAGACACAACATCTCAAAACTTCAAATAAGGACAGAATCGGCAGTACTCATTTCCCCCTTGCCCCAGGTGCTAAGCTAGCTCGGCATGACACTGCTAGTGATCTCATTTTTATTTAAAACTTTGATATTTTGTTCATCACAGGGCTTTTTGCTTTCATGTTGATTTTTCAAAAATTACATTAAGTCTCTATCTTGATCACCGAGTTTTGGGGTGCCTGCTTCAATGTTGCGCCTCACCCTAGTCCTGTGCCTGTCTCCACCACCCTCCTCCCCTCACTCCCATCCAGCCAAAGCCACCTTCTTCCTGCTGCTCCATCATAGGCTTATCTCAGCCTCCCGACTTTGCCCTGGCTGATTCCTCTGGCCAGTGCACTCTACTCAGATTTTCTCGCGCTGATTCCTTTGTATCATTAACATAACAGCTCAGAGGCCACCTCCTCAGAGAGGTCTTGCCTGACCACCCCACGTACAGCATCACCCCTACACCCACATCCTGTTATGTGGTCTTCTTCGTACTTCCTGCTGTCCGAGATGCTCCTGCTCACTTATTAGACCATGTGCTCGTCTCCTTCACCTGAATGTGAATATCATGAGGGCAGGAGTCTTGTCTGGCTTGCTGTATCCCCCATGTTTAGAAGAGCTTTCAGCACATAGTAGGGCCTCAATACATATTTGCCAAATGAATGAATGTGGTTTGAGGTGGGTGTCCCCAGTACAGGGCCAGTTGTCTGCATTTATTGGGCATTTAGCCCATTACATCATAACTAGTTCTCCCGTATGACCCTAGGGCATCCCCGTATGAGCCCTACAGGTCTACAGGGCAGGCCCTTACCATTCCCTGCTCTACATCCCCCTGCACACATCAACAGCCTGACACTAAGATGAGGCTCAAGGAAGTTTGCTTTGTGGATGAATTTCCATGGAAACAGCCTCTGAACAGGGCCGGGCTTTCCCAGTCACCTTGTGCTGTGCGCGATGCCAGGGAGCTGACTTACCTGTTCATCCTCACCTCCCTCCTACTCACTCAGCTCATTGCCCTCAGAAAACATCTAGTCTGACTAATTTTTATAGAGTAGGTAGCAACATGGGAAGATGATCAATGATGATAGTCTAAGGGAAGAATGAAGAAAACAAAATTACCTTTGCTTACTCTCTCCCTTATTCACGCGACAAATATTTATTGAGCAACTACTATGTCCAGGCACTGCTGAGGCACTGGGGATACAACAGAGAACAAGACAGACAGTCCATGCCCACAGGGACTTTCCAGTGTAGTAGGGAAGAGAGATAATGAGCAAGGGAAATAACAGAAGAACCAGGTCACTACAGATTATGGTCTCTGCTCTAGAGAAAATAAAGCAGTGCGGGACGGGGGTGAGTTTGGGTAGGTTGGTCAGGGAAGGCATTTCTTCTCTGAGCTGCCACCTGAGATGACATAGCCGCAGGGTGAGGAAGAGCCAGCCTTGGAAACAGGAGCTGGACAGGAAGCCGGGAGCAGCTTGGGCTGTGACGGCAGAAAGCTCACACAGAACGAAATGGCTAGAATCCCAGTAAAGACAGAAGTTGCAAGCTGAAACCAGAGGGGTAGAAGGAGGAAGGAGCCTGGGTCCCTGACGATTATAGGGTGGCCACACCATCGCTGCTCAGTGATGAGCTAGGAAGCTAACCCTCCAGAAAAAAAAAACAAAAAACCCCTGATTTACAGTGTTTGCCAGTTTCTGTGGTATAAATACTCCCACCAAAGCCAATTTCAAGGGATCAATGTGAGGTCACCAGGCAGGGTCTGGGAAGAGGTCAGCACAGTCAGCTCTCAGGCACCAGAGCAAGCTGGCTCCGGCACACCACTGCCCGGGGGCCTTTCCTACAGCCATGTTTTATGGGAGAGAGAAGCACACACCATCTAATTGCAGCTGCCTAGTCAGGTGTCTGTTAACTAATGGCCAAGAGTCGTTCCTAACAGGTCCATGTGCATCTGAGTCATTGGAACAGACTAATCTCATTCACCTAAGTGTGAAGAATAATGCTCCTCGGGTCCTCCCTGACAGCCCTCAGTCTGTCCGGCTTGGGACATGGCTAACATGCAGATAATTTGAAGGATGAGCCAATCCCCCGCCTTGGTGTCCTCATGGGTCCACACACGACTCGGGTCCCCAAGCGGCTCCTCAGAGTCTTAGAAAACTGCTCTAAAGGTAGAGTTCCTCACATTGCTGAGGGCACCCGAGGAACTTGGACACATCGCTCCCTGTTTCCAGAACTGAGGAACGAGGGGAATAGACCTGCCCCTTCCTCCTGGACCCCAGGACAGCAGAACACTCCTTTGCCCATTCCACGAACATGTGTGCAGGCCTCCTTGGCCCCACACGGTGCTGTGTCGGCAACAGGCAGAAGCATGAGGGACAAGTCCCAACCCATGAAGCCTCAGGAGGGGTGCAGATGAGTTGGGGGGAAGACAGGGACGCATGCGTTAACATGATGGAGAATGCTGGAATAGGGTTAGGAGAGACCAAACTTGCTGCTCTTCCTATGACCTTGTCTCAGTAAAGGCCACCCCCATCCACAGGAGAAATGTGGGAGTCGTCCTCGACACCATCCACCAACCAATGCGATCAGTCATCAGATCTATCTTCGGATTTGTTCTCTCCTGTCTACACCCGCTGCCTCTGGTTTGGTTTTAACCCCTGCTTTTCTGGACTGTGACCCTAGGCTCTTCTCTGCCCCTGCATTCTCCAGGTGCCCCTGGAGTGACTGTTCTATGGGACAGATCTGTCCGTGCTTCTTCCCCCCATACCCCACGGCAGGATTTCCATGTTGTCTGGGAAGATGGGCACAAAGCCTGAGCATGGCACTCAAGGCCATCACCACTGGCCCCAACTTCCTCTCCAGCCTTATCTCTCAGTCTAGTCCTGCACTGTCCAATACAGCAGCTGGTAGCCACACGTAGCTATTCAAATGAAAATGATATGAAATTAAATGAACTTGAAACTCAGTTCCTCAGGGGGACCAGGGAATAGCGTGGCACATTTTCAAGTGCTCGGTTAGCCACATGTCATCAGTGGCTACTGTCTCAGCACAGATACAGAACACCAGGAACGATCTGGCCAAATCCTCTGGATTTCTTTAGCAGGAAACTGAGGTCCAAGAAAAAGGACTGACTGGCCCACGGGCACACAGCTCAACAGAGGAGAACCAACCAGAAAATGTACTGCTGGCAGAAGTGAGACAGAAAACAGGAAGCTGTTGACAAACCCGTAAGTGGTAGAGCTACCTCCGGAGAAGGGCAGTGGCGAGGTTTGGGTTCACAGGGTGCGTGTCACCTAATTCTCATAACAACCTCATGAAGTTTGTGCCTTTATCACCTCTGTCTCGCAGGGAGGGAAATAGAGGCTCAGAGAGGTCAGACGGCCTGCCTAAGGTCACACAGCCCCATTTCCAAATCTGCAAAGTACAGCTGAGTACCAGTGCCGGCTCCGTGGTTGGGAGGATTAGGACACTTAATTCCTAACCTGACATGACGCACGCAATGTACTCAGTCACTCTTTCGTTGCTGTCATTATCATCATCACCATCCCAATTACACGTGAAACGGGGAGTCAGAATGGGCAGAGCGTCCAGGAGAGAGTTTACTTCTGATGGAAAGCCCAGGGAAGACGGATGGATGGGCAGGGTGCCTTCAAGACTCCTGGGTGGGGCCGGAGCACTCCAGGTGGTGAGATGAGTTGGGCGGGGGCACACCTGGTGTGTGCAGGAAGTAGGGGGCAGTTGGGGACGACGGGAGCCAGGTATGGACAGGTGGGTGGAGGCATGAGCTGGAAAGGCCAGCGGGGCTAGCTGGGGCCAGAGTAGGAGGTGGAGGAGCCCTTGAAGGTCGGCGTGGGGGAGCTGGACTCTGCAGGCCCCATCAGAGCAGGGGGGAGTCAGGAGGGACAAACGTCAGAGGGCAGAGCCACATCTCTGTACCCCTTTCCCTGGAGAGGGAGCAGAGTCGGGGCTGTACAGACCTGAGTAGACAATTATGTAAATGTCAGCTGAGAGGCTCTGGAGAGGCCAGGACTGGGGCAGCAGCTGTGGGGAGGACGGAGAGCCAGGGCTCACACGCTCCCAAGGCCAGACCTCCCCTCCTGAAGGGTCATCCCCCTCCCAGCCGAGAAAACAAAGCTTCTGTAGGAAGCCTTCTC